CAGAACTATAATAATTGCCCGTTACATGATGTATTCAGCTTATTTTTTGATTGCTCTGGCCACAGTTCTGCACCCAGGCTGAGTAACGGACTAATTTAAGAAGCCAAACTGTGTGCAGGATTGCACCCACTGATTCTCCATTTTTAGAGATGGTAACATATTGGCCAATTATTGATATTGCTTGTTTTTTTTTAAGTGTGTACTTAGTATTAAGTATAGTAAAGACACAAGATGAGATCCAGTTGTGGCAGTCTGCTTGCACAATGGAAATTCATTTAAGCAACAGGCCTTGTTGTCCCTTCCAGCCTCCTGAGCTGATCCAGAGGGTCCTGCAACTCTCTGGTAAAGATTTGGTAATTTTTTGGAGGTGGGGAGCAGAGAAAAGATAAGCCCTGTTGCATGATTGGTAGCCCACACTCACTATGTTGTATCTCACCAATAGACTATTAAGTGAGTATTGTAGTGTTGATTGGTACTGTCGGTTTTCATCTAGGATGACCTGGAGAACATTGGGAAGACGGAGGCTCATATTATTAAGTGCTTAATCAGCATGGTTATGAAGCTTTCTGAAATGTCTTTTAGACCATTCTTCTTCAAGGTGGGTGTTCTGTCCTATTTCTGTCTTAGCCATTTACAAGCTGCCCAGGCTATTATTATTTTTATTATTATACAGAAACTAAAATTCCTCTCTCTGTTTCAGCTCTTTGACTGGGCCAAAACGGAGGGTGCCTCCCGGGAGAGGCAGCTGACTTTCTGCCGACTGGCAGATTGCATTGCCGAGCAGCTAAAAGGACTCTTCACTCTCTTTGCTGGCCATTTAGTGAAGCCATTTGCTGACACACTGAACCAGATCAATACTTCCCAAACAGGTAGGAAGAAGACCCTCTGGAATGCAGTAAATAAAATACCGCTCATTTTAATTCGTTTTTGCATTTCTCTCTTCTTCTTCTTTTTTGCTGTGCTCACACTCAGTAGTTTTTTGCAAGTCGAAAACCAGGATTTCTCAGCCTGGAAAGTCAAAATTATTGAAGCAGAATACATCACAGGAATTACAAAAGCTATGCAAATGTTAGATGATCTGCCTTGTATTTGGCAGTGCCACTTGTACTATTTTAAACACCTTGTCATAATTTTCATATATATCACTGGAATGAAACTCACAAGATATTGCCAAATAGTCTAGAAAGATATTACTTAGGACTAGGATCTGTAGGGATGGATAGGAAGCTGTGGAGAATTGAATATTCCTTTCCTGGCCGTTCCCCAACCTACTCAGTCTTTAGGAGACCTTGTTCTCTAAAGCCAGCCTGAAGCACTAGAAATGTGTGCATTTTTGAAAGTAATGTTTATGCTCAAAAGGAAGAGAAGACCACATCTGCTTTGAGCAAAGGCAGAAAGAACTAGAAGAGAGAAAGCACATTTAAATCATATCTACCTGCCGTGGTTGAATCAGAGGATACAGTCCCTCTAAGTAGATGTCTCCTGTCCCATGGCAACCTGAGAAGTGTGCTTTTTCTAAGTTACTGTTGTAATTTCCAGGAACTTGATGCACTGGATAATATACTAGAAGCTAGCTACAACACTGGCACACTGTATCACGCACTGTGGGTCACAGTATTTTTGCCATAACAAGTCATCAGCTAATGTCATGTGATGTTCTCCTAATGTGGCTTGTGCAAATTGCAGCCCCTGCAAGCGTTACTTTGGTAGTTAAGCAATGCCAATGGTGCCTCATTTCGGTCTCTTGTTATTTTTTGCAGATGCAGAGGAAGCTTTCTTTGACTCGGAGAACAACACTGAAAAGAGCTGTTTATTGCTACAGTTCATCCTTGATTGTCTCCACAAAATCTTCCTCTTTGATTCCCATCATTTTGTGAGCAAAGAGAGAGCAGAAACATTGATGATGCCTTTGGTCAATCAGGTATTGATAAACGTATTTTCGCTTAACTGTTGGGCACTGCAGACATTTTTGTTGGGTACCTTTAAATGTCTTCCCTTTTATACATCATACATTTCATTATTGTTCAACTAACAGACGTATGGACATGAAGGGGGGGGACCTTGGCTGCTTCATAATTTTCCATTGTTGTCAAAGCACTATACCAAGTTTAAGCCATGCCCATAGCACCCATCACAGGAATTTGCCGGTCAGTAATCACAGAGGGGCGTGGATGGCACTGTGGGTTAAACCACAGAGCCTAGGACTTGCCGATCAGAAGGTCGGCGGTTTGAATCCCCGCGACGGGGTGAGCTCCTGTTGCTTGGTCCCTGCTCCTGCCAACCTAGCAGTTCGAAGCACCTCAAAGTGCAAGTAGGTAAATAGGTACCGCTCCGGCGGGAAGGTAAACGGCGTTTCCGTGCGCTGCTCTGGTTCGCCAGAAGCGGCTTAGTCATGCTGGCCACATGACCCAGAAGCTGTACGCCGGCTCCCTTGGCCAATAAAGCGAGATGAGCACCGCAACCCCAGAGTCGGTCACGACTGGACCTAATGGTCAGGGGTCCCTTTACCTTTACCTAATCACACAGTTCAGAGATGGCGTTAACTCCTTATTATCAAAAACACAACCTCCACAGACTTGGTTGGTGTCATGCCTAAGGAGCAGAGCAACTCATTCCCGGTAGTCTTCCTCCATGAAGATAAGTTGCTGAGACTGAAAGTCCCCACCTCCTCACCAGAGCTTTCCCTAAGCAATCAGAGACTGTGCCTGCGTGTAGCCAAACTTTTCTGCACCCTTTTCATGCCTCCTCTGGTTCTGGTTACAGCAGCGGTCTGTGCCTCTTCACCAACTGGACTCATCTCTGCCTCTTAGCCTCCCCCATCCCCACTTCAGCTTCTGCCTCCAATTCGGGACTTCTCTCTGCCACAAACTCCCAGCTCACTAAGCCATTACCCCTTCAGTTTCTGACACCTCCTCTTCCCAGTCCTCTCCCTCTGTCTACTCATTGTTGTCCAACCACCACTCCCCCCCCCCCGGCTCTGAGCCCTCTTCCCTTGGGGGTTCCCCAGCTGGTTCCTCCCACCATTCCTCTGCGTTCAACCAATCCATGACAGCGTTCTTGCTTAGTCCCCTTTTTTTCTTCCTATTAAATGCAGCCGGGGGGGGTGCATTAGTGGACACAGATTTCAAGGAAGAGGTGTCAAAGGATTCTAGAAACTGTCGGTGACTGGCAAGGAATCTAGGGAAGCTAGCGATCACAATATTGTAACTGTCTGAAACAAAAAAGGAAATAAATTATTTCACTTTCAAGTGCATGTGATTTGTTTTCTCTAAATAGCTGGAAAATATGCTTGGGGGAGAAGAGAGGTTCCAGGAGAGAGTGACAACTCACTTGATCCCATGCATAGCTCAGTTTGCAGTTGCAATGGCAGATGACTCTCTGTGGAAGCCACTGAACTATCAGATTTTGCTGAAGATGAGGCATGCATCACCCAAGGTATGTGGCGGAGCTGGGTCATAAAATACCATATTTTTCACTCTATAAGACGCACCTAATTTTTGGAGGAGGAAAACAAGAAAAAAAAATATTCTGAATCTCAGAAGCCAGAACAACAAGAGGGATTGCTGTGCAGTGAAAGCAGCAATCCCTCTTGCTGTTCTGGCTTCTGGGATAGCTGCGCAGCCTGCATTTGCTCCATAAGACGCACACACATTCCCCCTTACTTTTTAGGAGGGAAAAAGTGAGTCTTATAGAGCAAAAAATATGGTAATATTGCATTTAAGTCACCCTGATGTGACTAAGGTGGCAGATGACTGTCAGTGGTATGCAACTGTTATGTAACCTGATTTCGGACAGTTCCCTGCTTGCACTGCAGCGCCATGCAACAGTTTACACAGTCTGTAGATGCCTTTCATGTGGCAAGACTTAAGGGCATGTAGAGGGAAGTATTGCTATTGCAAACTGCTTTCTGCTGCTTCTTGCATAACCATTAAGATACAACTTTGTAGGTTTAGCTTGAACTGCCAGTGGGACACATTTACTAAAACATGTGACTAAAGTAAGGAAGCAGACTGGTGGATGATAACTTCAGCAAAGCTGTGATTCTGAATTTGTGCACAGAAACTTGTTATGCTTAGCATTTCCTCTTGAGAAGTTTGGTATTCAAATGCAGTAACATGTCCCACTGTGATACTACTGGCTGCTCTCTTTTTCCTTTAGGTTCGATTTGCTGCCTTGTTAACTTTGCTAGAACTTGCACAAAAAATAAGAGAGAACTACATGGTGCTACTTCCCGAGTCTATTCCTTTCTTGGCAGAGCTTATGGAAGGTAACGTAGCATATATTATTGTTACTGTGAGAATTTCTACTTGGGAGTCTACTTTAAATGAAGCCGTTGCTGCACTTTTCACACCCTTCCTCAGTAGGGTTCAGGATAGTCCATATGCCCTAATAGAAAATGCTTGAGTCTTTTGCACATTGAGGTTCCACAAGCACTTCCACAGTGGTTTGTGCCGTGACTTGGTGGCCTGTTTTCCTTCACCTCACTAATGCTAGGAATAAATGAACCGCAATCCCTGGCTTAGCATTCGTCAACTTGTGCACATCTAACTTGCCAAGCGCATGAAGTTTTCATTGTGTAACTGGCCAGCTGCAGTTGCATAAATTAAACACACCCTTAACAGGCTTCCAGAACCTCTTTCATTGGGAAGGGAAGTTAATGGCTCCCAATTCTCATCTGCCCCAACCAACGTGGCCAATGGTCAGGAATGATAGAAGTAGCAGTCCAACAGCACTTGGGAGGGCCAGAGATAGCTGCTCACTCCTGTTTTAATGTTTCATAGTGGATGAACCTACTGAGTTCCTTTTTGCCAGTGACTTCATAGTTACCATGTTGTTTGTCTGTCCCCCCCTCCTCCCCAGATGAATGTGAAGAAGTGGAACACCAGTGCCAGAAGACAATTCAGCAGCTTGAGGTCATTCTTGGAGAACCATTGCAGAGTTACTTCTAAGACTATCCATGGTCTTTTTCTTTTCATCATTCTCAATAAGATTTAAACATAAACGGTGAACTTTTTTTAATGTTAAACAAGAATTTTAATTGTATACATTTTTTTCCACTCTGAATTGTGATATTAAAAAACACTCATTTATAAACGGTTGGGACACTTGGCATTTATCCTTTCTCTGGCTTGCGTAAACTGGATGCGTTCTTCACATTAGGAAAGTGTGAGGTAAAAACACATCACCCAACTTTGTGCCTGAAGCAAAAACTCTTCTGTATCACATCCTACTGCAGACAGGCAGCTGTGACAGGTCATTACAGTTCATTTTTTAAAAAGATAAAGAATTTTGGAAGTCATTGTATCTAATTTTCTCTACATAGCTTCACAGAAGTAAAATTTTAATTCTGCGCCCTTCAGAGCTATTCAGCTGAGAGAGAGAAAATGGACCCTTTGTCTCTAATCCCTAGCCCTAAACCCCAAACACTTATCTGGTACAACAAAATAGGAACTTCTCCATTTTAGTCATGTTTTTGTGAAGAAAGACACCTCTAACCATTGAGACGACTAATGGTGCCCTCCATGAGAATATGTATTTTCCAGTACAGTGCAACCAGTTGAGAGTATATACTGGTTATAATTTCTAGAAATGTTCTAAAAGCATGAGAAAGGTAAGAACATAAGAGTTCTTTTGAATCGGCTGTACCTTCCATTACCAGCAGCAGAGTTAGCTTAACAATATAGTCTTCAAATTCACTAGTTGAATTTAGCATACACAATTTTAGTAACAGCAGCTGGTAACTATTTATAACTTAATATTACACTGTGGATCAACAGTATGTTTATTCTGCAAGCTATGGTTAGTTTTTAGATATTATGTCAGTTGATTTCCATGGACAAATACAGAAAGGTTTTTGTAAGCAATCTGCATCCAGTATATATGCATTTTTTGCTGCGGTAGATGGATCAAGTTTAATGCTGCTCAGTGTCCTCAAGATTAGAGGAAGGGATTCAAGGAGACCTTTCTAAAATCACTTTGAGAGTAACACACAAGTACTGCATCACAGTTACCAGCTCCTCACATCCAGCAGTCGAATGTCCCCATGGATTTCCAGGATGCTGATCTTTCCAAGTTGTTTGAACCGGTGTTTGTACTCTATGGCATGCACACCGTTGATCGCAACGTTGTAGTGATGGGCCTTGCAGAGTATTATCAACTGAAAGTTAAAGACATTTGACATCCTTAGTTAAATTAAAACCATTCAAAGTTATGGGGTGCGTAAGATAGGAGCATCTGCAAGGGGAAGACTACAACCTACCCAACAACTAAGGATGGCCATGTTTGAGGAATCGTTTACAAGGTAGGATAGTTCGCAACCGTAATATTCAAATAGTTTTGGAACATGTTTAGAAATAGAAACTTTTAAGACTAACTTTATAGGATGCTGTGTGCTGAAGCTACAACCTCTCCTTGTGCTGCACCTGTGAGCTACCTAGCAGCCTTGCAGGCAAGAGGAAGGGAATATGCGACAAAGGTCCTATCTACCACACTGCTTCAACTGCTGTGACGTAAACAGCTGTTTGTGCTGTATTAAGTTGATGCATAGACTGAGGCTGGCAGAAATCGGTGGTGAGAGTCTAGTCATCCCATCATAGGTCCTTACAAAAATATTCTATGATCCAGGCAAAGGAGGTATAGATTCCAAAACATCACCATTCTTGCCTGAGCCACTGGGCATAGTGTATTTCTACTTAAATCATCCTGCAACGTCAAACATGTCCCTGCCATCTATGATAATCAGCTACCAAAATCTGCATGTCCATGGTACATGCTCCAGAGAAATAAATATGGCAGAAAGTACTCATAACTGTCTAGAACTGTTGGGATTCCAGCTCCCATCAGCCGCCACCAACAGGATGGTCACTGATGATGGGAGTTTAAATCCAAAAACATTTTGGAGGGCCACAGTTTAGTCTCTGTAGGAGAACTAATGTTACACCATATTCTCCTCTACCCAGTCCAACACTATTTTTTCATCCCCTGCAAACATCTGCATTGCACATATTGCGGCAGATCACTACTGGTCTCTATTTGTTTAATTAGTTACCTCAAAGTACATTCCTGGAGAGAAAGGGAAATGAGGGATCTGCTTTTCTTCTTCTCCCCAGCTGCCTTCCAGGTAGGAATTTCTCACAAAAGCTCTATCTCTTATTCGGGGATTCAGATGCAGAGCAATGTCATCTGAGTCACTGGCTTTAAGGTTAATGGCAAAGCTGTGAACAAAATAGTAATGTTAAACTACTGCAGCATCGCTATCATACTGGACAGTGGTGGGAATTGCTGAAAGAAGTCAGAAAGTACCACTATTATGGTTTACAACAATCAGTGATAACAAAGGTTCTGATTAGAACCTTGCAATTTTTTTTAATGACTTCTTTTATTTACACACACCAACAAAAACATTTTCGAAAGCAAAATAAATGAGAAATACAGTGAAAGGGTTCCAAGGCGGTTGCTATGTTTTATCCAGAGCACGTAGGTTTCTGATTCTTAATACTTCCGAGAAGAACTTAGTCATGATACTTTGGATTATACGATTAATGTATTCTAAATACACACAGAGAAAGAGACTAAAACAGCAGCATGTTAAAACAGCCTAAGAAAAATGACAAATGCCACTCTGATTTTACTAACCCATTTGCTTTTTCATTAATTTCTCCTTTTACGACAATTGTTCGCCCAGGCTCAAGAGGAGAATGAAGCCGTGCAATGTAAGGAACTACCTGAAAATGTAACCACGCTTAGAATTATTCTTCCAAAATTAATGGACTGAAACGTTTCTCTCGAAACATGAATCCTGTCATCAGTTAGTTTTTACACCTGCCTCACTGTTCATTCCATTTTTGGATGACAAGCAAACATAAAACAGGTACAGAAATCATTTGGACTTCCCCTCTTTATTTTGACAATACATTTATCCTTTTACTAATTCCTCAGCTTTTCCTCTCATTACCTGTTATATACTGCTTAGTCTACAAAACCCTCCAACTGGTTTACACCAAACCTTACGTTCACTGGTGTTTTTAATGAGGTACTCTCCTACAAGATTTATTCAAACTTTAAGTGGCGATCACAATTCCATCAGGTGCAACTGTAGCTCCCACAGTAAACATGGGAAGAGGAATGTAGAGTGGGAAATTGCAGCCAAACAGTGCTTCCCATCACAGTGAGAAAGACACACATATTGCATGTTTACTGCAGGAAATCAACTGGGGTAGCCATGGAAAAACACAGTTGCATAACATGGCTTGAAGAATAAGGATAAATTTATCAAGTGTACACTCTCTCATTAATACCCTAGCAAATAGTGAAGGGATGAAGAGACAAGACTTTACCTTACAAAAATTATTTCAAAATGAATGGCCACTTAAGCAAGAATGAGGCTACACAATTCTGCATCAAGGGGTCATGTGAAAAAGCTCATTCCGTGCCCACTCCCTAATAACTCTTGCATTGTGTTTCAAATGTGGTTTACATGCCAACTGATACTTACAAACTGTGACGCATCAGGGACTTCTTCCTGCTGGAAAGAGAAAGAGAGACTTTGCTATAACCTAAGAAGAACAAAGCTGTGAACCTAGCCAGATAAGAAGAATACCTACATTTCCTGAGTTTGTCTTTGTTGCCCCTAGCAAGGATGGCTGAGAGCCTTGCAAAGACTGCAGAGAAAAGACAGGTTGAGAGATCAACACTCACAGGTCACAGAAAACTCACACAGTGAACTGCCATCTCTGAATATCTTTCTAACTGCAAATGTTTCATCAGCAAGCTGTTGAAGGAGGGATGGTTTTTCATTGCTTTAAAACCAGGGTGGGAATCTGCGACCCTCTAGAAGTTGTTGGATTAAACCTCCTGCATCCCTGACCACCGGCCATGCTGGCTGGGGCGGACGGGAGCTGGAGTTCAGCAATATCTAGATCAGGCAGAGGCAAACTCGGCCCTCCAGATGTTTTTTCAGACTACAACTCCCATCATCCCTGACCACTGGTCCTGTTAGCTAGGGATGATGGGAGTTGTAGTCCCAAAACATCTGGAGGGCTGAGTTTGCCTATGCCTGATCTAGAGGTCACAGATTTCCCACCCCTGCTTTATTAAGATGGTCCTCAAACACATTAGCAAGGCAGTGATGATCCAGCAGGGGCAGATCGCACAACTTCTTCTATAGAAGGTCACCACAGAGGCACAAAGTCAAATGAGGTAGACTGACTAATGCATTGCAAGGATATCTGCCACTTCAGTGATACACCAATTTGTGTGGAGAGAATGTGGAATCACTTCCTCAAAAGCAAAACAGGCTCTTCATTATTTCTGGACTCTCCATAGACAATATGAGGACATCATGCCAACACATTAGGCCCCAAACTGTTCATGTTAGTTATATAAATACTGTGCTCAGGGTACAATATTTCTCACTGCCCAAGTCACTGGGCAATTCTTCTGTCAAAATCACACACTGCTGCTGCAGGCAATATTTTCTCCCCTTCCTAGCTGGGAGTGAAGCACGCCATCAGATCTATTCTGACCTATCCATAGCTGCTCTTTACGTGTTCCACCGCAGCACGAAATTGTAAGCAGCAGAAAAATGTCTGTAATATAGACCGGCAATGTGGAGCCACTTTGATGCAGTGGTTAGAGTATTGGAGTGAATTTGGGGAGACTCATTTTCAGATGCACACTTGGCCATGAAGCTCACCAAATGACATTAGGCCAATCACTAGCTTTCAATCCAACCTACTTAACAGAGTTGTGACGAGGAAAAATGGGGGTGGGAAATAAATAACATATATCACCTTGGAGGAAGGATAAGATAAGCTTAATACTATCTATCTATCTATCTATCTATCTATGCATTCAATCCCTAAATAAGTTGCTGCGTTATTTAATAACTTACCGCATTTGACACAAATCCAATCATATTGACTTGCACATTTCCGTATATTCCAATTGTATCTATTTTTTCAAGGTTAAGCCTATGCTTGTAGATCAACAAGTGCTTTCCATTTACAGATACCTAGGAAAAAATAGAAACAAAAACATACAGCTATTTCTCACAGTTGTGGTGAAAATATGCTATCATCCAAACTATTTATATTTATTCATGCAAATGCATCTTAGTTTGAAGTTCTTTTGGCATGCAACTGGCTTCCAACAAAGATGTTGGCAGTTTCTCATTTTTACATTTCTGAAAACAAATAAGGCGCCTAGATGCAACTTTTCACAATATTCTCTGATTCAACTGTCTCAAAATGCTTGGTCTGCGTGCTCTGGAAGCCCGGCATGTAAGTTACTGAGCTGTCAGCAGTGAGTCCCAAGGACAACACAAACCCAAAAGCTGGAAGGACAAATCTGTCTTCTAAAATTGTGTCCACACACAACTAGTATCTTTCCATATGCTAATTGCACAAGGTGGAAGCGCAATAAATCAGCACTGTATCCCCGGTTTTGAGCTTCGCGTCCTGGTTTTGTCATGGAATCACATCTATCTTACTGCAGCTCTGCAAAGGTTTGCTATTATTTTCAGCTAACGAAAATTGTCCATTTCTCTTTTTGGCTGCTTCCTTTGCTATTGGCACTTTTCTCTTTCTTTGTAATCGCCACCCCAGCTTGAGAATATCACCACTGCACCCATTCACCCAAACAGCTTACGAATTACAGCTGCCAGCAAAAGCTAAAATCCTGCTTACTTCATGAAACTCAGACACTACAGACACTTTATCATCTTCACATTTTCTCCCTCTCTTTTGGCAGCATACTGCATCCAATTTATCAGGCAGATGTATGGGCGCCATTGCAGCATTTGTTAATGTTAAAAAACAAAACAAAAAACCCCTGATCATTCAGTTTTTAAGAGAAGGAATTATGCGTTCATGAAAAATGCGTGAACAATTTCTTCAACACTGCCTTTAAAATAAAAAAGTGACAGGTGTGCTGGTAAGAAGACAGCTAATGGCAAATTGTGAGAATAGGAGACACATTCTGAGCAGAAATATTTGTCATTAGTTGTATTCAGCTCCAAATGTAGTTTTTTGATGCCTGAATACAATCCTACTAGCAAGTGTTGGTTCATTAACCATTGCTGCCTCCCACTTCTTGTCTCTCTGGTTTACTGGAACCTATGCACTACTATTAAACCAGTAGTTTTCTACATGTAAGACGGGAAAGAGTGGATCCTTGCAGGAAATGGAAAACCTCTTCCTTCCTAGCTGCATGCTTCTTAGACCAACAGGTAAGAGTGTCATCCTGACCTATTCTGTACCATGCAACTAGTCTGCATGGCTTACCCCTTGTCAAGAAACAGTGATACCATCCTCTTTTTCTATTATGTTTTACAACTCTATAATTCACCATGACAGTATGTTTTATTCACATCAACACAACTTCATCCAGAAGCAAAACAAAAACAAAAATTAAACCCTGCAGTGGCTATAAAGAGCACTGATCCACAAACACTCAAGTTGTTTGAAATGCAGCAATTCAGGCAAAATTAAGCACTTCTTAAGTTCTACTAATTTCAGTGGGAGAATTAAGCTCTTAAATCCTGTTGAAACCAGTGTGACGTCAATGCCTGATATTGGCTGGATTGCACCCTCTGTGCTTTTGGGCATGACAGATTGGCTAAGTAAGTAAGTAATCAGCTTCTAATAACTCACCTGGAATTTATCATGCAGAACCATAAAAACAATCTCAAATGGCTTTCCTTTTCCAAAAGGCATTGCGTGAGTTATCTCTTCCCAGCCCCATCTTTCATTCCGTAGGGTATTGCAAACGATGCAACCAGATTTTTTGAAGCGGGGGTTGAAATGAAAGGCTACATCAGCCCGAGGTTTTGTGCTATTGCCACACTGGAAGTCTATCTGGAACCTAGCAGTAAATTGAAACACACCGGTCAATTCAACCCTCCCATAAGCAACATGCAACAACTCTCTAAGGCAGGAGAGGTCCACTGCATAATTGCTACCTGTGAGAATAGGATGCTTGCTCTATATTCCATGTCTGCTATATGAATCCAGAAAATTGCGCTGGATAATAGGAGCACCTAACTCTTAGTTTGGCTCATGGCAACACAGTCACATTGGCAGAGGGCTTAGCCATAGCTTGGTCACTGGATTCACAGCTGAAGATACCAAACTACTCTCAGCAAGATGAGACCACAAGCATCAGTTCCACTTTTCAACTTCTGATACTAAAGATGGTGTATGAAACACAGAAAGGCTCTTCGTAGTCTATATGTGTCCATGTCATAGATGTAATGAAAGCCATTACTATTATTATTTTTTAAGTAGGTATGTTCATGGCTATGGCACAGGTCACTAGCAATTACAGTGGTACCTCTAGATAAGAACAGGATCCATTCCGGAGCCCTGTTCGCATCTAGAATTAAATGTAACCAGCAACGGCGTGTCTGCGCGTGCGTGCGTGGCTTTTTGCCACTTCTGCGCATGTGTGTGATGTCATTTTGAGCGTCTGCGCATGCGCAAGCGGCGAAACCCGGAAGTAACGCGCTCCGTTACTTCCGGGTTGCCGAGGAGCGCAACTCGGAAGCGTATTCAACCGGTATGACGTATCAACCCGAGGTATGACCAGAAATACTCCCCCCAATCCCCCCCCAAATCTAGCGAACATTTTAAAACATTATTTAATATATGCATACATTTCAGTCATTGCATAAGCCAGACTTCTTGCATATTCACTTTATCATGACCTTCATTTAATGTTCAGATCTTAGGAGCAGAAGCCAATTACTTTCCCAAGCCGTGCATTATTTGAAATTATTTCTGGGGTGTAATTTCACAACACTATCGCTTCCACCAGAAAACCTATGATGCGGAAGCAGCAAGTGCTTTCAGCAATTTGTAACACTTCTCAAAAGCTTTAATTTCATACGGATTTGATGCAACCATTTCAATATGTGAGGGAACGTGTTCTGCTGTCATCTCTTTGTGTGCTTGCCTTCAACCATCACCTACCAGAGGACTATTTGTAAATATCTTATTTGAACACTTACCTTTCTGCACCTTCTGGGACGGACCCACGTATGACCACAAGCTCTCCAGGCAAAAGACCCCCAATAATAGTCCCAGCATATGGAATACTCTATAAAAAGAAGAGGGAAATGGAATTATTATGCTTCAGGCTTGAGAAGAATAAAAATGAAATTTATACATAGTTTATTTACATTATTAACCTTTCCTGTATTTCACTAACTAGGACTCAACAAAAGCAAGTTTTGAACAGTTTTTATTTGGGGGGGGGGGACGGGGGTCAAAATTAGCAAGATCTACTAGTTTTGCCAGCCGGGATGCGGGTGGCACTGTGGGTAAAACCTCAGCGCCTAGGACTTGCCGATCACATGGTCGGCGGTTCGAATCCCCGTGGCAGGGTGCGCTCCCATTGCTCGGTCCCAGCGCCTGCCAACCTAGCAGTTCGAAAACACCCCTGGGTGCAAGTAGATAAATAGGGACCGCTTACCAGCGGAAAGGTAAACGGTGTTTCCGTGTGCTGCTCTTGCTCGCCAGAGCAGCTTCGTCACGCTGGCCACGTGACCCGGAAGTGTCTGCGGACAGCGCTGGCTCCCGGCCTCTAGAGTGAGATGAGCGCACAACCCTAGAGTCTGTCAAGACTGGCCCGTACGGGCAGGGGTACCTTTACCTTTACTAGCTCTGCCAATTCAGAGAAACTCTTTGCTGGGACACAGTCTAAGGCGGCTGGCATACTTATTTATTTGAACTGACCGGTGTAAAACAAGAAATCACTTCTAGGAACTGGTGGGTGCATTATCCATATACAACAGGGGAGGCCAACTCCCAAGAGTCTGTGATCTGCTCACAGTATTAAAACTGGCAGTGATCTACCCCCTTTTTGGGAGTTCAGCTACAACTTGTTAAGCTTTTTTTAGGTAGGAAGAAAGCACAGATTTTTGTGAATTCAAGCCTAAATTCAAGGGAGAAAGAGTTTACTTGCTGAGTAATCTCCGTCTTCCGTTCTGCAGATCATGCAACAATGGAGGGTGGGACCGGATTCTATTTTACCAACACTAGGGAAAGGGAAGGGACCCAGTGATTGACCAAGATCTACCAAGACCTCCCAGGGATCTACCAATAGATCACAATCGACCTGTTGGACATCTCTGATATACAACATGGGCTTGGGACCTACAGCAGCCCCAGGACAAAGAGGTGCCATCAAATTAATTTGGACTAGATTCCTAATCCTCACCTATGTGCCTTTATTCTCCAAAAAGATAGATGTACACACAGAGCTCCGAGTACTACTTGTCCACACTCCTCCAGCTGCTTCTCTCAGGCTGCAAGCCTAAATACTAGGAAGTAACTTTGAACCCATGGGGCTTCCTTCTAATTAAACTCACTGCTATCAGACTTCCCCCACACCCTGGCCATTAGCTTCTCCTCTCAGCCCACAATCACATGGGACACTATACTTCTGCCAGCCCTTCTTTCTCTTCATCCACTTTGTCTTTGGCCTAGTTCTCTAAATTTTCGCTTCACTTTTACTGTAAAACGAGCTTTCTTTAAGGTGAAATGACAAAATCTACAGGCATCAAAAGGAAGGAAGATGAACAGGAGATAGTTACCGGGTTCTGGATTGTCTTTTGAAAATTGTCCAGGGACATCATTTTTTCGTCCTCTAATCGAAGGAAGTCTTCAGGCTCTGTAGGACCCACTGTGTGGGTCTTGAATGGCAATAAACAGTTCCTGAAACTAAAACCATAGAGCTTTGGTATAACTGAACACAAGTTAAGAGAAAAATGGGTGCAAAAAGAATATTTTTGGAGATAGCATTTCATAATTGGAGCACCATAACAGAAAAGGCCCTGTACTCTCTTGAACATGGGAGGTACGAGGATAAGGTCTCAGCTGTCAATCTCAGTATGTGCACAGGTTATAGGGTAGTAGGCCATCCTTCAGAGGCCTGAAATGCCCAGTAACCAGGGGTATCTTATTGATCCAGCACAAGGATTCAGATGTGTTCAGGAGAAATCCCATGCCTATTTAAATCAACAAGCTTCTGAATGGCTACCATGGTCAACTGTCTAAATAGAGGAATGACCAACATTCCATTGTGTACGTATATTGCAAAATGTCCTATGTGCACCATATTACCCTTTTATATATGTTCCTTAAATACAATATAGTACAGTGGTACCTCGGGTTACATATGCTTCAGGTTACATACGCTTCAGGTTACAGACTCCGCTAACCCAGAAATAGTGCTTCAGGTTAAGAAGTTTGCTTCTGGTTGAGAACAGAAATCATGCTCCGGCGGCACAGCGGCAGCGGGAGGCCCCATTAGCTAAAGTGGTGCTTCAGGTTAAGAACAGTTTCAGATTAAGTACAGACCTCCGGAATGCTTCAGGTTACATACGCTTCAGGTTACAGACTCCGCTAACCCAGAAATAGTGCTTCAGGTTAAGAACTTTGCTTCAGGATGAGAACAGAAATCATGCTCCGGGGAGGGTGGAACACCCATTAGCTAAAGTGGTGCTTCAGGTTAAGAACAGTTTCAGGTCAAGAACGGACCTCCAGAATGAATTAAATACTTAACCCGAGGTACCACTGTACTTTTCATACTTTGGGTCTTTCTGATGTCTATATAGGGACCGTCACTGAAGTCTGTACTCTCCCTAATGGCCATTTCACACATTACATAGAGAATGTTTGGCTATGAAACAGCGAAGCAGTATATATCATTCCAGTGGAAACAGCAGAAGCCGTTTTAGGAAGTAATGGTAGGAAGTAACATATCACAAGGCATGCACATCATTCTCAGGGAAAGCAGATGAAAGGTCAAAGTCCAACTCGCGAATATTGAGAAGGGGAGTTCAGGGCAGAGCCATTCCAACCTTTAGCGGGGCAAGTGAGGTGGCCTAATCATCCTTTGCTAATTGCAGCCTCCAGTTGTGGGTGTCTTTGGCTACATAGTATATAGTACAACAAACTGCATCCAATAATAGCTTTCTGACAAGTATGCCTGCATAATGCACATCTGCAAATCCTTATTTATCTTAGTCACACCATCAGTTTTAAGCAAACACTCTGAAATGCAGAGGTAGCCCAAACACAAATATATCTTTATTGTACTTCTGCATCTTTTCTGGAAGAGGATTACCAGGATGGGAAAACATAATGTAGCTCAAGTCATGGATGAGCAGTCTAATACTGTATCTTGTTACTAGCAAAAGTTCTTCTCTAGCTTGCACAGATCAAATCAGCACAGTTACACAGAAAAACATTTATTCAGAATTAGGCTTCACTGAAATCAATAACTGTAATGAGGATACTAAAATAGTGTAAAGTCAACCATCCAATGGCAGAAATTCTACCACAGCATTTATGAGTGGCTTTTGAATTGCACCCTATCAACTCTATCCTGAATCTCCTCGGAAGAAAGTTCAACATATTTCAATGGAGCTTTTATCAACAAATGTGTATTTAAAATCTAGAAGCTTCAGATAAAACAACAGGGTTTCGGCTTGAGAAATATATTGGAGAGTAACTGCAAAAGTAATGTGTAAATGAACTCCTTAGAAGAAAAAAGTAAATAAATTGCAGCACTTCCTAGAGACACGGATTTAACTTTTGCTGGATTTTAGGTACTCTTTTAAAGCACGCACTCATGTTGATAGAAACACACAAAACTCTCCCACCAAAAAATATAATAATATCTCGTTTCCACAACACTACGCGCAGCTCTATAATGTTTGGAGGAAATACTCTCAGTTTCCTCACTTTACTTGGGATTATGTGCATCTTCCTCTTACCTTTATAAACCCGTATCCATCGGAAGCGCCCGGCTCTTGATGTTGTTCACGCCATTGAAACTCCTCGCACTGTTTAAAATGGTTCCTCGGGATTCTTCTATTTCCTGGATCACATACACCAGCATAATGACGTCAGCCACTTAGCTCCTCCTCCCCTTAAAGGACCATCGTCTCATTAAACTTCGGGGGGGGGGGGGCAGTGGGCTTCTCTGTTTTGACCCGGAGTGGTCGAATGATTAGAGAGGGTCTTTAACTAAATCCCCAAGACTCCCGACTCTCACCCGCTTTTAGCCAATCGTGTCATCCCTTATATTCAGGCATTGCCAAACTTGGCCCTCCAGCTGTTTTATAATCTTCTACTACGACTAGTTATAGGGACTGTTAGAAAAGTGTGGCTGCACCTCTCCGCCTTCCCCAAATTCCCCCCCCCCCCTGACAGCAATTCCAGCACGGTTGATTTCCTTCAGTTGACTAACATCAGGCTAATTTGTGTATTATTGACTTTGTTTTCATGCCTGTCTGTGTCGTATTAATGACGGTGCGAAGGGAGAAGGGGGAGGGTGGAACACGCCCTAAACTGCATCTACTAGATTTCAGTTCTTGGAGGGAAAAATATTATAACTTCTTATATGACTGTATTTTCATCCCATTCAAGCTCCTGTTCCGTTTTAATGGGATTATGCAGGAAAAGTCACTCGTGGGTTGTTTCCAACAGTACTACGATCTCTCTCCATTTCTACAAAGAGGAGCATTGCCAATCTCCAGTTCTGTCTATTGACCTAGAATAAGTCTTCACTTTTTTTGGTCCCTTCCTCTCTCTGGCAAACCACTGTTTTGCTTTTTGGAGAAAATTTTGCGTTTTGCTTTTTTTTGCAGGCAATGCAAACGGGTGCACTTCGCATCCCCGCAATTACCTACCCAGTTAGTAAACATTGCTGAATGTGTTTGAGTTACAGTTATTACGATCGGCTCCACTGAGGTTAAAGTGCGTTATGGTCTTTTGGGGGTCCGGTTAAGACTTTTCCCACCACCACCGCCCCCCCCCCGCCCCAGTCCGTCCTCTCGAACAGCACAGGCAGCTCCACTAGGGCAAAAGGGACACTGGCCCTCACCTTAGTCTGCAACCCCCCCCCCCACAACGCTTCATCAAAAGATCACAAGGTGATTCACCAAAATACACACCATAATAGCAAACGAAAACAATAACACTCCTCCCGACCCATACAGTCTAAAAGGTATTACTGTATATTGTTTAAATAACCAAAGTCCTGGGAGAAGAGGAATGCTGCATTTTATAATTTTATTTTTGGGGACCTACCCAGAGAATATATTTTAACTACAAATGTAATCAATCAATAAAATACATAATATTATATATACCGTATATACTTACTTTGTTTTTAAGGCAATAAAGCCGGTCTGGCTACTGAAGAACATTCGATATGCAATGGGTGGAGGCAGGGTAGAGGTCACATCCTCAGGCCATGATCTTTGGTGTGAGAGTTGTCTGAAATGTTGGACAGGTTTAGTATTCAGAGGTTATAACTGGAACCTGCAGTTTCTGATGTGGAAGCTTTGCACTCAGTCCTTCAGGGTGGCAGGGATGGTTTTTACTATTATATACAGTGACTGCCTCAGGTAGCAAATGGGGGGGGGCTAGAATAGCCTATAAGCCGCCCCTCTCCTCATCCTACCACAGACACATACCCCCATCCATCTACACACACATTTCCCCCTTCTATTTACACTCTCCAGCCCTATACACACCATCCACAAGCATGCACAAAATCCCCTCTGATCCATATACAAACTACATAGCCACCTGCGAGCACCACTGTGATGGAGGCTATAATGAACGGCTGGGTCTTCCCTTCAGTCCAGCTACTAATGGCCAGGCCATGTGCTAGAAACATGATGTTTAAAAAACAAAAATGGAACACAAATTAGGCTTTTCAGATCAGGGAATTCTGCTTCCCCTACTATGGATTACTACTGTTTCCTCTGCAACCAGTGCACTCCTATTGCTGGTTAAGGAAGCAGTAAGCATACATCATTAGCCACAAATCTAGTTCTATCCTTTATTGGGACCCACCCCGAGAATATATGTTAACTACATTCTGTTGGTATTAAAGGGTTAAGAAGCTCTAGTCAAGACGCTCTAATCACTGAGCAGCTGGAGGTCGTTAAGCTTCCAGGAATGTGAGTTTGTATAAATAGTCAACTCACTTGTGTGTTTCCCCTTCTTCCTCCTTTCTTTTGGGGCGTGTTTGCTGAAATGTGTGGTTCTTCACCAGGGTTTTTTGTTTTGTGTAAATAAACCTTTTATTTGAGTTCCAAACCGCTTGCTCCAAGATTCCTTTATTGAAAAGATGCTGACTCTCGAGCCCTTCTTGAGCCGCTGTGCGAAAAGCTCTGCTGTAACGGGACATTGTGGCATTGGAAGCGCACTGGACATATGCTTAGCATTAAACTAATTAAAGTTTAATGGGACAGGTTATGGTTGTTTGTACGTCAAGAAGGAGATAAGGAGTGCAGTTCAGAGTGATTTATGAAAGGACTGGAGCGAAGACAGAAGCGGTTGCCGACAACGAAAGCCTTCAAAGCAGCTTGAGTCCTGCAACGTGCCTAGAAAAAGTTTTAAACAGGCACTGCGCAGTTTGTACTCGCTGGAAGACGTCTTATTCCTCAAGGAGCCACCTCAGCAGCTGGGAGACGGTCTACAGGTGTGTGAGTATCGTTCCTAAGCCCCAGGGAGGATGGCAGAGTCCCAGGAAAGTTTTACTGTCCCATTTACGCGACTCAATGGGAAAAATTGGCAAGATTGGAAGGCTAGAGTAAGGGTTTGGTTGCAAGCAAAAGAGTTGTGGAGTTGTACTGAAGCACCGCCTTTACAGGCAGCTGCAGACGCGTCTGCAGAAGACAAAGCAGCAGCGGCAGCTTCACAGAAACGTGACAGGAAAGCCCAGGGTCTACTAGTTTTGGCAGTGGGACCAGAGCAAATGCCTTATGTTTCTGAGTTAAAGAACACGCATGAGGTCTGGACGGTTCTGCAGCGGCTAAATTCCAGAAACACTGCGGGGGCCAAGATCCATGCTACAAGATGTTTGTTTGATTTACGTCTCCAACCGGGAGCGTGTGTGAAAGAACATATTGCCAAAATGGTGTCTGCCTTTAATCAACTAAGACAGCTGGGGATTCCTTTCTCTATGGAGCAGCAGTCATACATTTTGTTGTCTTCTCTTGATAAAAGCTATGAGACTCTAGCTTTAACTTTGGAAGCTATGCCTTCAACTGAATTAACCCTTGAATACATTTCTTCTCGACTTGCAGATGAACAGGATAAAAGGCAAAGAGAAAGAGGTTTGTTTTCAAAGGGGAGTTGTGCTGTGCCTAAGAGTGGGGATGCTGAGTTGAGAACACAGTAAATGCTTTTGCAGCTAGACACTGTTTTCGCTGTGGTTCCTCTTCCCATTTAATCAGGAATTGTACACGTGAACCTGGTCAAGACAGCACCAAGGCCGTTACCCCTAGTTACCAGACAAGGAGTTCCAGGGGACGTCGAAGAAGAGGAGGAGGTCGTGGCTACTCCCACAGCACACAGCACATGGCTTCAGCAATGGCGTTGATGCAAGGGCGTGGCCAAGGCAGCAAACTACGCTGGTTGATCGACAGTGGTGCATCTCACCACCTGGTGGCGCCATCTAGTGTCCGTTTGCAGAATTGCAGACATTTGCAAACCCTTAAAGTTGTGACAATGGCAGATTCAACTAAACGTTCCTTAGAGACCGTAGGCACAGTGTTTTTGAAGTGTTTGCAAACAGAAATTGATGCCTACGTGCTAAAGGGAATGAAGGGGTGTATTTTGTCTGTGTCAGAACTTGATAGAAATGGGTTTAAAACTGTGTTTGAAAATGGGGTTTGCACTATTTCAAAGAATAACGTATCTCTTTTGCAGGTGGAATGCAGAGATGGGTTATATTATTTTGAGACAAGTCCAGATGAAGTTGAACAGGTTCATGCTGGTTGTGTGAACTCGCCTACCCATAATTCTTGTGTTCATTTATGGCACCGCCGTTTGGGACATATTAATTTTCAGTATGTTAAAAGGCAACCTGAATTAATCAGAAGGGTGCAAATTGAACAAGTGTACTAAGTATTTGGATTGTACTGCATGCAAAAGGGCGAAGGTTCATAGATGCAGCTATCCAGTTCAAATAGGAAATCTGACAAAGTATCCAACTTGTGCATATGGACCTATGTGGCCCAATGCCTGTTGCTAGCATGGGAGGTTCGAGGTATGCACTGTGTCTTTCAGATGACAAAACAAAAGTCACATGGTTTTTTCCTCTCAAAACAAAAGCAGATACTGCAGAAACAGTTAAAAATTGGGGTTCATGCAGTAGAACTTGAATTCGGTACTAGAGTACTTGCTTTTCAGACAGACAGAGGGTCAGAATTTACCGGGTCTGTGTTGCAGAATTTCTTTAAGAAAAAGGGAATTAAGCATCGTCTGTCTACACCTTATTCCCCCCAAGAAGGAGGTGTGGCCGAACGTAAAAACAGGGTTCTGCAAGAGTTGGCAAACTCTATGTTGTTGATGCTAAACTTCCTCAAGTTACTGGGCGGAAGCCTGGAAGACGGCTACTCATGTTCTGAACCGAGTATATAATTCAGTAATTGATACTACGCCATATTTTGCTTTATATGGGAAGAAGCCCAAAGTTAATTACTTTCGGGTGTTTGGATCTCAAGCCTATGTACTTATCCCAAAAGCGTTACGGAAAAAAGGAGGTCCAAGGGCTAGGAAACTCATCTTTTGTGGGTACGAACCACATGCCAAATCTTGGAGGTTCGTGAACCCAGATGGGGATACTACAAGAGTGGTCCTCAGTAGGAGCGCTGAATTTTGTGAGCAATCCGGATGGGACTCACTTACATGCTAACCCTGACATTTTGAGAGATGATTTAGGCATTTATGCTGAGAATGAAAGTCCAGAGGGTGATGAGCCAGAAGGGGACGGTGCACATGGTTCAGATGCAGATTCTGACCAGGCACAAGGTTCTTCTCCTAAGGTAGAAAAGCCAGAATCTAAGAGTGTTCCAACATCGCCAGTCAGTAGGCCTAGCAGACAGCAAAGCGAAGCAGGTTCGCCTGCAACACCAAGCCCAAGGGAGGTATCTAAACGGAGGTCTTTATCCCCTAGAGGCACGTCCAGACATAAAGTCTGAGACAGATTCTGACAGCCAACGGTCAGAGGGGGCACAAGAGGAGCAATTGCGCAGGTCAAAACGTGCCACGAAGGGCAAGCCGCCAGAGCGTTTTAAAGGTGACAAGTGTATACGTAAATATGGCACAGTGTGAGCCAGATAGCTATATGGAAGTACAGACAGCTTCCAAGCTCAGAAGCCGTAAAGTGGGCAGGAAGCAATGGAAAAAAGAGATGGCTTCAATGAAGTCTCTCGGTGTGTTTAACAAGTACAGAGCTTTCCAAAAGGGCAACAAAGCTGTAGGTTGTCGATGGGTATATCGTTTAAAGCCCACAACTACTGAGGAGTTGCAATATAAAGCCCGACTAGTTGCAAAAGGGTTTCGCAGCGCAAAGGAGTTCACTATTCTCAAATCTATGCCCCTACTTCAAGATCAAGTAGTCATTAAGAATGCTTTTAGCCTCTTCAGCTAAGAAGGGAAATAAGCTGTTTCATTTTGATGTCAATGTGGCTTATTTAAATGCAGACTTACAGGAGGAAGTCTATATGGACGCCCCCCCCCACCACCAGGTTTTGAAGGAGACAAAGCCAAACCAGGTCTGGCGCCTCCACAAATCCATTTATGGTTGAAACAGTCTGCCCGTAATTGGAATTCCTGCTTAAACGATGCTCTAGAGAGCATGGGTTCAGAAAGAGCGCAGCAGATGCGTGTTCTTTATCTAAAGCTCGGGATGTGAACAAGAAGCAGTCTTGATATTTGTTGACGATTTATTATACAGTGGAAAGGACGATAAACTTGCACAACAATTTGCCCACAAAGCTTGGTGAAAGGTTTCAGATAAAATCACTAGGCAATGTATCTGTTTATCTAGGAGTTTAAAATTCAGCAAGATGAAGATGGGAACTATTGGCTCAGCCAAGAAGCTAAGATCCAGCAGTTGCTGGAAAGGTTTAAAATGGACAACTGTGCTGGTGTTAAAACCCCAATGGAGTTAAGTTACACAAAGGATGCTCAAAACTGAGCAAGCAGGCAGAGTTCTGTAATCCCGGGGTTTACCAGTCAGCGATAGGCAGTCTACTCCACATTGCACAGTGGACTCGGCCCGATATAACATATGCTGTCACATTGCTGTGTAGACAAGCTGAAAAACCATCAATGCATGCTTGGCAAGGAGTAAAAAGAGTTTAAGGTATCTCAAACTACCAAAAGGTTTCGCTTAAAACTATCAGCAGAGGGCAGCACACAACTTGAATGTTGGGCCGACAGCAGTTGGCAGATGCCTGGACCAGATAGAAAATCAGTGTCAGGAAATGGCGATAAAATTTGGGAAATGCACTAATTGGTTGGAGATCAAGAAAACAATCACTTATAGCTTTAAGTTCAACTGAATCTGAGTTCAATGCATTATCAGATGTATGTAGAGAACTGGAATTTTATAAGCAACTGGTACAAGAATTGTTTTGGAGAATGTTCCCTACCTAATCAGAGTGTGGAAGACAATCAACCTTGTATTAAAACTAGCTAAATCAGGTCAATTCAAGGCACACACAAAACACTTGGATATCCGTTATCAAAATGTATGCCAAAGTGTAAATACAAGGTTTAATTGAACTAAAGTTTGTCCAAGCCAAGAAAAATCTCGCAGACGGTTTTTACAAAAGCTTTGAGCCCGCAATCTCATAAATGTTTCTGTTCAGTTTAAATTTGAATTAAGGTTGGTACAGCTCAGTGTTACGAGCGAGAGAGGGGTTGTTGGTATTAAAGGGTTAAGAAGCTCTAGTCAAGACGCTCTAATCACTGAGCAGCTGGAGGTCGTTAAGCTTCCAGGAATGTGAGTTTGTATAAATAGTCAACTCACTTGTGTGTTTCCCCTTCTTCCTCCTTTCTTTTGGGGGCTGTGTTTGCTGAAATGTGTGGTTCTTCACCAGGGTTTTTTTGTTTTGTGTAAATAAAGCTATCTTCTCTCCTGT